ATAGAAGTTCCGTCGGTGTGTATGCGATGAGCCACCGCAGATATATATATATATATATATATATATATATATATATATATATATATATATATATATATATATATATATATATATATATATATATATATATATATGTGCTATCGTGAGCTGTATAGGCGGCTATAGACGCGAAGGCGTGGCACTATCTAAAGCCGCCACCTCAAAGTAGAACGGTTAGTACCGGCTGATTTTTCAAAAAAGAAGAACAAGGGGGAATGAAAAAAAAATGCAAAGGTTGCAGCGGCCTGCTAACTGCTGTCGCTCTCACATCAGTATACTCCGGCGCACAGAAAATTTTAAGTAACTGGGCTGTGAAAAAACGAATTGAGTAACTTAGTGTGAACGAGGAGTGGATAAATTGAATTATAGGAGGTCTTCATGTAGGAGAAGTGTTTGTTATTCCTTAACGTTAGTTTAAGGAACTCAGTGAATTCCAGAATTTTTGCATGAGACTACAAATACTAATACAGTAAGTTAGTTATTCTCTGCTGAGCATTGCTTCCCTATGACGCTCTTAGTTAAAAAAAACGCCGATTTCTTTTCAGATGCCAGGCGTTCGCTACTTTCGCTGCTCCAGATGTTCGTGTCCTAAGGTCTCGCTCAAGGCACTCTTCAGACATCTTCGCACGGTTCATGGGCATGAAAGCAATTGGCTGTGTGGCTTAGGTGGCTGCATGAAAACGTTTAGGCTGTTTTTTTCTTACAAAAGACATGTGTACAGAAAGCACGCCGAGCTGCTTGAGGATGAAACACAGCCCACTGAGACCATTCCGCAGCAAGTAGAGCAAAGAAGCGAAAATGATTCACCGATGGAAGAATCAGAAGCCCAAGAAGTGGTAATTGATTCTGAACTATCTGAATCAAGTCCCTGTCCCACTGATTATGTCAATCAATTGGCAGCACTGCTTCTCAAGTGGAAAGAAGCGAGACACCTTCCAGAAACCTCCTTGAACGAAATAGCGAACGATGTTATTTCCTTGATGCAAGTGATGCTAGATGATGAACAGCTTTGCACGTGTACTCTGGCTGCCAGTCGTAAAGTGGAGTGCAAGCAGCAGCTAAACAGACTCCTCATAAAAGCAAAGCACTTGAGATATTGGCGGACCCATTTTCCTGTTGTAGAGCCTCGTACAATACTGCTTGGAACAGACATGCATGGAAAACACACTATCGCGTATGTCCCCCTCTGTGATGTGCTGAAATGCGTCCTATAGAATTCTGACCTGTCTAGTGACTTCAACAGCTACCACTAAAAAGAAAATTACTTGTGCTCTATTTTTGAAGGCACTGAGTTTCAAGAGCATGCTTACTTTAGCGGGGACAAATATAAATTAAGTATACAACTCTACAGCGACAAATTCGAGGTGTGTAACCCATTAGGTAGCAAAAGAGGGATACACAAAATGACAGCTGTCTATTTTTCAGTCCTAAATTTTGTTGCAAAAGCAAGGTCACCACTCTCAGTGGTGACCTTGCTTTTGTGTCTCCCTAATATGTGTCTTCCTACGGCTTTTCAAAAATATTAGCTCCACTAATTGCGGATGTAAAGGAATTAGAACAGGGCATTAAGGTGGGTGAAAATATGCTTAAAGGTTCAGTCTTTATTTTCACTGGGGATAACTTGTCCAGCCACCGAGTAGGAGGCTTTAAGTGTTCATTCAGTCATGGCAGAATATGCAGGTTTTGCATGGCATTGCGCCATGAACTGAACCACAAGTTTTTAGAAAGTGACTTTATTCTTCGAATGCCAAATGACCACCAAAAGCATTTAGATATGCTGAGGGCAGGGCTTCCCACTGCGTCATTGTATGGCGTTAGGGAAACATCTGCCTTCGAGTTCAGAGGCTTTGACTCATCGCAACATGTACCACCAGATTTAAGGCATGACATTCATGAGGGTGTATTGCCATTTGCCTTGCATCACATTATTTCATCATTAATCAAACAAAATTTTTTCCCTTACTCACTCTAACAAGGTGATATGTCAATGGCGTTATGATCCACATGATGTGCGGAACGAATCGGAGCCTCTGTCAAATGGGTTCTTGAAAGGCAAAGCACCCACGAAAGTATCAGCAACTCAAGTGTTTTGCTTTTTTCAACACCTCGCACTTTTCGTTGGTGAGTGTGTTCCTACTGGAAATGAAGTATGGCAGCTTTACCTTATTTTGCGAGAAATCGTAGACATCATTATGTGCGACAGAATTCCCTCTAGCTATATTGCTTATCTGCAAAGAAAAGTTTACTTTTTTTTTGTCTGGAATTCAAATTATTGTTTCCATCCTCATCAATTCGTTGCAAGGTTCACTACCTCATTCACTATCCGTCACTAATAATGAAGTTTGGACCACTAAGTACTCTCTGGGCAATGCGGTTTGAGGCGAAACACCAGTACTTTAAGGACATTTCACGCAAAATTCACAACTGCAAGAACCTCTCAAGAACTCTGGCTCTCAGACATCAGTTTTTGCAAAGCTTTACACTTATATGTCCTGAGGATGACGGTACTGCCACGACTGGTTGCAGTACTGTGCAGCATGAGCACCTTTCTGAATGTGCGCAGCACTTTGTTTCTGAGCATGGCCTTGAGTGCTCAAGTTCATTTACTGTAAGTTCTCTAAGAGTGTCTGGAAGGTTGCTTAAGGATGGTTGTTGTCTTTCCTAGATATTTCCTTCGATGACATGCCAAAGTTTGTTCACGTGTGCGGAATATACTATGTAAACAAAACTCTTCTCATTTGGGTAAATATGCTTGAGACTGTTTCTTTTGATGAACATTTCCATGTGTACAATGTGAATGCAACACAAGAGTACAAAGTACTGACATCATTTTCAGAGTTTTACAATGATCTTTGTACATGCGGCAACACAAGGGACGTACTGTGATCAACACCCGGCAAGCATTAATATAAAATATCGGCCTTGTCTAGCTTGAAGCCTGTGTTTTATTTTTTACTGGAAAGTTATTGTAGACGTGAATCACTTAGGTTCAATGAAGGCTTATAAGACATATATGACTTCGAAAAGTCCAATTATTCTTGGTTGCCGGAATGGAACATGTTGAGGCTGTTGATCAGTTCAACATTTGTTGTGCAAATGTGAAATGCAGCTTTTGTTATGAAGTTGTCACGCACTGCAGGAACATTTCATCAATCATTTGTTATGAGTGTAATCAATCAAAAGTAGTATTCTGATAACTTATAATGTATTTATTTTATACATTTGAAAATTTCTTGCTCTTTGTTGCATATGTGGTTTGCATTTCTGCTACATTAGCACATATATCTTGGTCTGTGCAAAATTATTTTTTATTGTCTCTCTGTTTGAAATTTAACAAGCAATTAAAAGTGCTAACAAGTAAAAAGTGTTCATACTGAGGGGGGGGAGGGTGAGGAGGATTTTCAGTCTTACTAACAGCTTTAAACTGAGAATGGTTTTGTAAAAAATTAAGTTTTGTTCTCAGCTGCTTCTGGGTCATTTCACGTCAGATGTCCCAGCCACTTTAGCGACCATCTCAAATGTAATTGAAAAAAAAATGTGCTGATTTACTGCACTGAAAATAGTGAAATGGTAGAATATATCCGAGAGTAAAAATTTGTCGGTCACGTGGCGGCCTTTTGAACTTTCCGGAATGTTGTTTGGGTGTCGTTTGTAGAAAAATTATTTCAAAAGTACCTCTCCTTTTTTCGATACCAAATTTGTTCCATATGTAAGTATAAAAATATCCAGACACATGTTGAACCTTTGCGAGTGTGTGTTCCTTTTATTGTGCATTTTGTTGATTGTTCTTGTACAGTTTTCTGTGAAGCAAAAAGTGTATATCATGATCTTTCCATATGAAAATAAAGATATTGCAAAAAATAACGTTGTGACAATGGCTCTATAAAGGATTTCCTTGTTTGTGTGGTGTCAATGACACCATAACCTTAAAAAAATGCAGTACAACAGACACTTTGCTTCACGTAAGTCTTTTTAATATGTAAGCATGGATGCATTTAATACTCGTGCCACACGGGCAGAGAAAATGGCATTTATCTCCTATAATGCTTTCAGATTAAATGCCATTCGCGTGGTGCCACACGGATGAACGAATTGGCATTCACCCAAATGCCGTTCGTCCTCTAATGCCATCGCCAGAACTCATTCAATTGAGAAATGCGTACTCTCGAGGGCACAGCTGATGAAGTATTTGTATAAAACGACAGTTGATTTGACTAGAAGGAAACTTTTCGCGTATTTTATTTACCATTATCACTCAAACAACTGCTTAAGAACTTCTCTTCAGCTGGTAGGCACTGTAAAATAAATGCGCCAGGCGCCATTTTCTTTTTATGCTGTAGATCTGACTAGCTTTGGCTTAAGTTGCTACACGGTTGGTTGCAACGTCGTGAAACAGAGTAATGAACGAAATCTAATGGCAGTGTAATATGCTTATTTATTCTTTTAATTATCAGTGGATGTGTATGAAGCTTGTAAACGCTTGTTTATTTTTTTTATCGCTACTCACCCAATGCTCACGAGGAAGGTGGTGCGATCGAAATCATCAAGTGAAATGTCATTCGCTTTGGACATGTAGCAGCAATGCCGAGATTTAAAATGTCACTCGGGAACTGAGTGCCTTCGCTACTGAATGTCATTTTCTGTGCCCGTGTGGCACGGGTACACCCTTAAGTCCTTCCTTTAACACCCTTCATATTGTTCAACAACACCCTTTTTGCTTGTACACCCTTATTGTAGGGTGTTCCAAAAGAAAAAGACCGTGAAACCATTAAAAAAAGTGTAAATTGCGTTAACACCCTTTTTACACCTATAAGGGTGTAATATTTTTACTGTGTATAACGGTCAATTATAGTCTATGTAACGTTGCCGTATATAGTGTGGCGAGATTGAAGCAGCGGCCGAACTGGCCGTATGGTCCAAACTTTGTTACTTCTTTGCCCAAAGCAGTGTGCATATTTAATTCAAACCTGTCAGCGAGAGCCAAATCCATATTATTTTCATATGCACATGCACCTTTCATTTTTTGTTATTTCTTGGGAATAATTCTGTTTCAACAAGCAGTTTTCGTGCGCGTAAGCGAAGATACGGCGCTACAAGAATGATGTGCAATAAACTTCTGCATGTGGTTACAACACGGAGAAACGTTCATTAAGTTTTCGGGAGCCTACCTACCTGTATTGCAGGCAAGAAGCCGAAGGTCAACAAACTGGCCCATGTCTGTATGGCAAGCAGTACAACGTAGTGGCGTGGCTTCGCATTGGTGCTCTTGAAGCATACTTCCGCATTGTTCTGACTAAGAGATGCCTTCGGGCATTGCTTCCGCATATCCTCCTCCTTCGCAGCTGGCAGAGGATTAAGGTGCATTGCGTCTGGTGCCGCCGACAGCACCTGATGGTGGCGTGTCACCTGCTGCTGAAAGTCGTCCTGCTGCAATAGCAGTAAACGCAGCGAAGCTATTTCTATAGCCTTTGGTTTTCCGGGAGTATAGAGAAAAGTGAAAGGGGCGCTATTAAATTTATTATATTGCGTCTTCTTATTTCAATACCCTGAAAAACAGTGCGGGTGAGCTGGTGAAAAGGATGCTTTTATGGAATATATATATGGTTTTGTTTTCTTGTATTTTTAAAAGATACCTGCAAGACGTTCATATCTTACCTTTCATATTTGCGTAGAAACACCAGATGCTATAGATATTAGTCTGTTTTATAGTCTTAAACACCTGCATGATGGTGATATGAGGTTCTGGTGTTTCTAATCACTGCCAATGTAGCTTGCACACTCGTGTGTTTGTTTCCAGTATTAATTTGCAGCTAAACTCTGAATCAAGATGTTATTCATCTTTATGCAATGGCTATTGATTCCAGCAAATGATGTATTGTTGGAGTAGTGCAAGCCATCGTGCCCATTCGGTGATTTTGTTTTATCAGTTGCTTGGCTGAAAATGTATCTACTCTCACAGTCCTTTTTTTTTGTATGACCTAACCTACCCGAATGTTCCAAATCCTGGTGGTTTGTATAAATAAATAAATAAATAAATAAATAAATAAATAAATAAATAAATAAATAAATAAATAAATAAATAAACCGGTAAATAATAAGCAACAAATAAATAAAGAAAACGACCCGAAGTCAGAGAAGCCAATTGAGGGACTTGTCGAACGGTTACAGGCCACTCGTATAACGATAATTTTTTTTCCTTCAGGTATGCCTGAAGCTTGACATAATGTCCGCCAAAGTGACCGGTTAGTGGCAAAGGCGTAATATGATTCCTATTTTACACCTTTGCCTACTAAAAGAAGAGTGATGACTTACCCATTCAGCTTCGAACGACCTGCAGTTGTCAAGCAGAACGAAGGCCACGTAACTGAGCACCACCAACAGCAATAGCACACCAAAGAATACCTCGGGGTCAAAGTTCGTGGCACCTACATAAAGCACCGTAACCAGGCGCTCTTCCGAGTCAGCAGAGTCATTCACACCTTTATTCCTGTGCGTCACGGTTTCGTTCACGCATTCCGGCTCATTCAGTCCCTGAGCCAGTGCCACAAGGCTGGGCACGACGCCGCCGAGGCCCTCTCCCACAAGGTACGAGGTCATGTACACCTCTCGGAAGCGGCCAACGAAGGGCAGATACACAACTGACGAAGTGCAGTCCACGATAGACAGAGCAAACGCCGCGAACAACAGCACGAGGCTTGTCTCCCGGTGTAGCACAAAAGCAGTTACTTTCCACGCACAGATCAGCACTACGCAGGCGGCGAGTCCAATGCACAGCTGCACGTGATTGGCCACGCTGAGTGCCCGTGGACCCGTGAATGCACGCGTCCTTAAGAATCGACCGAGGCCGTAGAGAAGCGGGCCCACGTTTCCCAGCTGGATGGCCAGGCTGAGTGAGGCGGACAGTGCCCAACCTTCCGGTAAGGCGTGTACCAGGAGCGGCAGTTCCATCCACAGTCCAGTGATTGCGAGCCACGAGCTGAGGCCGTACAGCATGCACAGCAAGTCGACGAGCGGACGTCTGTCGCTCGTGAAGGACCACCACTCGGCCATCGTGGCTCGTTCTTGGAGTACCCTGTCAAGCGGGAGAGTCGAAGTGGATTCGCAGAGCGCTTGATAGGCATGTAGGCTCACTATAAAACAAACTAAAATCAAAGCGCGTGTTTGGTGAATGTAAATTTTACTAGCCCGAGAGAAAAGTAGCGCGTAAAACCTAACCGTGCGAGTTGTCATCATGTTGGCTTCCCAAAGAATCCGAAATTGCTAGGCGTTATCGTCAAATAGTTTTATAATGTCTGTAGTCCGATAAGGACACTGGGTCTTCCATCTACAAAACTCCGCTTACCGTCAAAGCATGTGAACCAATGTGTATGAAGAGGGACAAGAGGCTTTAAGAAGCTAAAGAGCTAGCTGAGCATAAAACGTAATTTATCGTTATCAACAAACTAATACAATAATGTAAACGAGGGTCGCCTTCTGTGCAATTTCTTTTGTCGATCTAGGCCGTACGTATATCGCTTCCAATTGTGTCGCTATTATATACTGTATAGCACCGACGACAAGGCGACAGACGGTGCTTACTCTGACCAGCCCAGCGACGCAAGTTGTAACCGCAGCATCCTAGCCTAAAACATTGTGGTAAGGGTTTTAGTAATCGAGGTTGCATGCACTCATTTTCAAGAGTCTCTCGTAGTGAGAAGGTAGAAATTCAGAACGTGTGTATCGTGGTACTATAAAGATTGTGAGTATTAGAATGAGTCATCGAGCTTGACCTTATACGTGGACAAGAAGCCTAGCTTATCATTTATTCGTGGCTTTTGGCAATTAAGTTGTTTCGCACGCCCTCACAGTGACGCCTTAATCAAAACGTAGTAAGTTCAAAGACAGCATGTCTATGTTCCGGTAGTTAATGAAGTTCGTACGTGAATTCCCCTTTCTGCTTGAGTGAAAGCTTACTCACCTTTTCTATAATTGAGTTGCATAGGAGGACTTCAATGTGTAGAATGCACCAATAGAGATTCGACGCGGAAAGTATAACGTGCATGAACCATCTAGTTTATGCCTACGGGAAGAAAAAAAAGAAGCACCTTTAGTCAAACGACCCTTATCCTTCTAGTCACATGACCACGCTCAAAACACGTTTTGAGACCACGGGACAGGAGCATCCGCTTAAGTGTCACAAAACCAAGCTGTAAAACATCAGTCTCAATTTCAGCTATCTGTGACGATGAACATCTGGATCACACTTGCTAATATACGAAGCTGAAATGTAAAAATGAACTAAGGGCAAAAAAAGTCACGTAGTGCTTGCGGGTGCCTAGTACAAGTCCATGATCATATGTTTGTTGGTTGACGAAATACAAAAGATATACATTGAAGGATTTGATGATCCAAGGGTGGTATAAATGCACAAATATGTTTATTTCTTTTTATTATTCTGTTCTACTTGACATGAGATTATCAGTATTGAAAGCACGGATGGGAATTCACAACAATTTGTAGCAAACTCAAACAGACTTGACCTTTACGAAAAGTATGTTTTTCTTTCTTGCTAAAAAGAACAGTATTTCCTGATCTCAGGGGATTTGTTTTTTGCCCCACTTAATCACCTCCGTATGCTCGTAGAATTGAAGAAAGCTTAGTTGGTCAAACATCTCCGAAATGAAGCGAGGGAAGAGGATTCCACCCACATCTTTGTTTAGTTTTGAGTTTGTGTTTACACAAACCTGTGACAAGTGTACAAAAACATATTGCATGCATGGTTTGGTTCGAAGAGAAAAAATACTGCATGTCACAGCTGGACTGGCTCTTCCACCCAGAAAAAAACTAAGTTACAAAGTTAAAAAAAAACAGTACAGTCAACGAAAGGCGACAATACAAAAAGAACGCGCATGTGGCTCATGACAGCAAATAAGGAAATAACAACTCTGAAAAAAATACAACGCTATTCATAACAAATCATTGTATGAACGAACGAGACTAAATGATCCTACCAGAAATCATGCAACATTCATGAACAACACAATCAGAGCATCCAGTTTAACATATTAGTTTGGGATAACATACGCCGATTATCAATTGTTAATATTTTATTTGCTCACCACACCTGGAAGACAGTTATGTAGCGTTTCGAGTCCGCAGTAAATGCGGGGACATGGTACATGCCAAGTCTCAGTATAACGAGTGACTCGACTGGCAGAATAAGGTTGCAAGGCAGGCGAGTGTACGCAAAAGGTTAGTTCGTCTGCGTAATACTGAAATAAAAGTTTACGGAAGCTGATATTTGTAATATAACTAGCACTTCTTAAAATTCTATATTTTGCAAACATTGGAGCAGTATGTGCGTTATACGATAGACCTTCAATACTTCGAAAAGCATTTTTAGCACAACCAGCTCATTTAATGATGCTATAGAACCAGTGGACCAGATCAGATGACAATAATGTAAATTGTATGAAAAAAGAGCATTACATACTAACATTTTTTTGTTTCACAGATAGTATACTCTGGCATCGACGTACCACAGCTACGACTTTACAAAGCTGCTCACTAATGTGCTCGGTAGGGTGATTTCATGCCACACGGGCGAAAACACGGACACGAAGAGTTCCAACGGTTTCAGAAAGCTTAATTTCGACGTTATTAAGTATTAGTTTGTGTAACGTTTTAAATAATTTGGACTTCGCACGGAACAGTACAGCCTTACGTTTAGAGCACTAATATGTGGAGAATTCACCACAGTCCAAGCATATATCTTGCTTAGCATTTCATCAGCAGAAACAACGTGGTCAATAGTAACTTCTCCAGAAAAAGCTATACTTGTATTGTCCACATAGATTACATAGTCTACAGAGCAATAAACACGTACAATACCGTTAATAGAAACATTAAATAATAGAGGCCTCAAATGACTACCTTGAGGTACACCATTCCTAACGTTAATGACTGATGATAGCTAGGTCTCAGTTTATTGATACATATTGTATTCGATTTGATAAGTAGCTTCCTAAAGCTAAATCTGCACCGCAAATGCCGTAACAGTGATATTTTCCTAGCGTAAGATCATGTTTCATCCTATCGAATGCTTTGGAGAAATCTGGAAATACTTCTAGCGTTAGTTTTTTTAGCTTTTATATTTCTTAGGATAAGTTCTTTTCACTATAGCAAGGCACTTTCGGTTGAGAGGCCGGGCTGAAAATCGAACTATGACGACGTAATAATGTTGTGTTCGTTTAAAAAATTACACAGTCGAGCGAAAAAGAGTTCTACACACCCTTAGAGAAGATTGGCAAAATTGGGATTGATCTGTACTTTCCTAAATTGCTTTTGTATTCACCCTTATAGTACATAACTCTTAATTTGGTGTTTTTTCATGCTCTGAAGAAACAGCCCAGTGGTGAACACGAGTTTATATTTATGGGAAAATCACGCGCATACGAGATTTATAGTATGTATTATTGGTTCAAATTTTAAGCGATCTATGTCCTCGCTTTTACTGATCTTGAAATGCTGGAAAACGCTGGTGACACCTTGCGCGTCTATAGGATTATAAAACACAGAATTGTCTCAAGCAGGAGGAAAATAACGTAATGATTCACAATTATGACTACTGTGAACTAGTGAGTTAAAGTACTGATTAAATCTGTCGGCTATATAAATGTGTGTGAAGGCCACTAGACGTTTTGCTGCAGGGATTTTAGGGCGCAGAGAAATGCCTTTCTGAAATCCCAAACTGTTCTTCATACGAAGAACAACAAGAACTGCGAAAATGGGCAAATACTGGTGAAGCCAACCACCATCTTCACAGTTGTCTTGGCGATATGAAATCGGAAATTCCACCGCGCATGGTTCAGAGAGTGATGTGTAGAGGGCCGACATGCATGTCCACGATGACGGCAATATTTCGCACCCATTGCAGTCTGTGTGCGTGGTCTAGAAATAGGGGCATGGACCGAGCATGTTATCAAATGTGCCCTTCCTCCTCTTATGACATTATTCCTATTCGCCTTTCCGCCGACAGTGCACCGGTACATTGCGAATGTTATGCGTATCAAACCGGCACTTTTATTGGCCCACATCCACACGTTTTTTTTTTCGTGTTTTCTGTTGACACATCGTGAAGAGGACGGGATCGCATCGTACTAGAGCATTAAATTGAATGTCACTACAATAAAGACGAAGATGGCAAACTCACGCCTAAATTTTTCCTAATAGTCACCGCACTAATAAACATGGGGAAAGCAGCGATGCACATGGATAATCAACGATTACAATTAGCTGGTAATCTACGCTGCTTAGCTCTATTGGGGCGTAGTTGTGCTTAGGTACTCAAATAGACTTGCATTTAATACGCAACACAAGCTTTGCCTCTTTCATGCATTGATTCATTAGTTTGCGGAGCTGCAACGCATGATGCCGGCTCTTGTAATGTTATAAAACAAGGAGGCTTCCTTTGGCACTCGCCTAAATGTAGTCGAGCGCGATGGCCACCATGGAGTGTAGTTTTTAGCCTGCAGTTCAAGTCGATGTCGGAGGTTCACTAAATAACTGTGACGATTGCGATGTTCCCTTACTGGTTTGTAATAATTTTTTAGCTTGATAACCTAATAGTTAACGCGTTTTATCGCCATTAAACTAATTCGCACTAATTAAGCGTTTACTTCACTGGGCGCTGCTGTCTTCTTCACTGTCGGCCTCGGTTTCACGCTTTTGGGAAGAGAAAATCAGCATCGCGCCAATGGCGCTCTTTTATTATTTTTTATTTGCGTGAACAAAGCACAGACAAATCGAGCGGGGGGCGGGTGCACCTGGAGCTACGAGTCATAGGCCCGCTTTTGTCTTTTTTTTTTCTCGAAAAGTGTGCCTTTTGTTCGTACCGCACAACGTGACTTTGATAAGTAGATATCTAAGGCGTTCGCCTTAAAAAGCAAATGGCTTGTCTGGGCAGGCCGCGTAATCTCGGATGCCATAGGAAGGTATTTCAGGGGGCCTCAGTACAGAGACAGGCTTACTGCTGCAGTGAACCATTGTTTATACTGATCTTCAATATGCCCTGTTCAGCT